TTCCACATGAGAAAAGCATTTCCCTATGAGGACTTTTTTCATCCAGGGAAACAAAAAATTGTTGCTGGGAGTGAGCTGGGGTGAACAGGGAGGGTGGGACACGGGAGTCATGCCTTTTTTGGTCAAAAACTGCTGAGCACTCAGCGTGGTGTGGGCAGGTACCTTTTCATGGTGGAAGAACCAGTCACCTGTTTGCCACAACTCAGGACATGGTTTACAAATCATGATGCAGCCTTCTCAAAACTTCCAGATAAAAGCTTTGATTGGTATTTGATCCGGAGGAACAAATTCCAAGTATACTACAAGGGGCCTGCCCTCCAAAATGATAATTCTGGGTTTTGGTGGGGGGGTCCCCTTCAAATAGCTAGAGGAAGAGCTCCCAGGCATAAGAAGCAGCACTTGCAAAGGCCCTGAGGCTGGAGCATGCTTCCTGTGTCTAAGGACTGGCTAAGAGGCCAGCATGGATGGAGGGACAGAGCATGTGAGGGGGGAGATGAGGGCAGTGCATGTCAGGAGTGGGCTGATAGGACTTACAGACCGTGGCAAAGGCTTTGGTTTTTATGTCAAGTGCCACCTTGCAGGGTTTTGAGCCAAGGAGTACTGAAGAGGTTCACAGTAGTGGGTTGAAGAGGATCACCATGTGGGTCGCCAGGACTCAAGACCAGCAGAATAGCAGTAAAAGCGGTCAGAGAATGGTCAGGTTCTGGATGGATTTTAAAGGTAGAGCTGACAGAAATGAATGGATGAACTGAGCTTATATAAACTATAATTTTTCCACTTCTTTTACTCTGAGGCTACTAAATAAACATTCATAAATATAGCTGGTTTAGATTTCTCTCAAGGTTTTTGCAAGTACATATTTTATAATGTGTGAAAGAGCAAGCGTTAGGACTTCCTTTATTCAAGTCTTCTTTAACTGAATCACTGATTCATTGGTAGATAATATATTTTAATTGTTACTGATTTGTAAACTCTTCACCTTATACAAGCCAAATATAAAATGTCTGATGAAAGTAAGGGTATTTATAATACTCCCACCATTATTCTCAGATACAGCTTCCGAGGTCTAATTTTTTTTTGAGTTGGAGTCTCACTCTGTTGCCCAAGCTGGAATGCAGTGGCACACTCATGGCCACCACAACCATGACCTGCTGGGCTCAGATAATCCTTCTACCTCAGCCTTCCAAGTAACCAGAACTACAGGCGTGCGCCCAGCTTACTTTTTGATTTATTGTACAGACGCGATCTCATCAAGTTGTCCAGGCTGGCCTCGAACCCCCGGGCTTAGGCAATCCTCTCTCCTTGGCCTCCCAAAGTACTGCAATTACAGGCTTGAGGCACCATGCCGTTTTAAAGTCATACTCTATATTTTATTATTTTTGTGAAATATAGGGGGAAAAGAGTGAGGCATGGGCACTAAGGGCTCTGGCTTTGGAATACAAGGGAACTAGGTTCAAGTCCGGGCTCCTACACTTCTCAGCTATGTGACCACTGTGGGGAAGTGGCCTAACCTCCCAGAGCCTTCTCTCTTAGAAACTGGAGGCAGGATTGCTGTAAGCATTTTGTGTCATTCTACATATAAAATAGCTAGCATAGTCCCAGATGCATATTTAAAATTCTGTAATTGCTATGTTTGTTTTAATAATTACAGTGAGAAGGAAGATGATGACACAGGAAGTGTTTGAATTTATTGTAAGAGGAACTGTTACCTTAAGAGTTGACTGCAGCAAAGTTGCCGTTTATTATCAATAATTTAGAGATAGAAGTCTACTTTATGTACCTAATATTCAGTAGTATCTAGTCTAGTACATACACTAAAACAAGGACAATAAAAGTAAGTCCAAATTGTTAAGCCCTGGGCTTAACCTGTTGGATTTGTACCTAATTTAGTGATAAACTCAATGAAATGACAGTCCTTCACGGTATATAACAGTCTTTATCATAGTGAAGGTTAATACAGTGAGCTTCCTCTGAATTTCTCACCTGCCATCGCCTGAATCCCTGGCTCCATTCTGTCAGGTAGCAGTCTGCCACAGTGAAGTCTAACAATTGAACCAAACAGGAAGATTCACTCAAATTTAACCATATTGTGTCTGCTGGAGAGCTAAGCCAAAGGATTGTGTCAATCAACAGACTAATAAAAAGTCCTTTGCTCTTTTAATCAAGGTCTAATAGGTAATTTTAGTGAAATAACCACCTGTAACTTTATGGTAGGAGTTTTTATTGTTTTCTACATAATAACATGGTTTAGATATAGTTTTCATCTGAATGTCCAAATTCCCAAATTAATTATTTATGTAGGACTCCTCAGGTGAACATTTGTGATCATTGTCAGTGCTTATTCATAGGTTACAGTCTGGATTTTGTGCTAATATTTACTCAATGGGAGTTGATTCTGAAGTAATATGTGAAAAATTTATAATTAAATTAATATAAAACATTAGGATCAGCTTATAGTTCATGGTTTTATGATTTATACCTCAGATTTTTTCTACTTTCTAAAAGTACTTGAAAGACCAATACTTTGCTGTTAGTTTTGCCATAGTTGACATTCAAAATGCATTCTGATGGAATAAATGTTATTGATGTCTTATTCTGAATGTGAAATTAAATAATTGATGTTTCCCTATTCAGAAATGAAATATAATTGTAAGAAATGTTCTAAAAGCATGAATTCCAACAGCATGTAAATTTCTGAAGTAACAAATTAGTTACTGTATACTGGAAAAAAATATACTTAAATGAGACTTTGATATAAATAATAGGTAATTATGTCAGTATGATTCAGGCATAAGTTTAAAATTAATTACTTTTATCCTAATTGACTAGTTAACAAGCATCAAACATATATACATAGATATACACATTCATATGAATATATGCATGTTTAAAAAACAATGAGATCATCAAATAAAAATCTTATTGGCAATGTTATTTTAAGCATTCATTTTTCTTCATTTTAAATAATTCCTGTTTCTCCCTATTTTATACATAAGCATTAAAATTAATACACTGGAATGATGAATGCAAAAGTCTTTAGGAATTCAAATATAATCTTAAGAGAAATAAGCTAATAAGGTAGAAAATGACTGGTGTCAATTGTCAAGTTCAAAAAATTCATTTTGTTATTGAAATATATAAACAGGTTTTGCAATGAATATGAGATTAATGTTTTTCTCCTCCAGGTCAGGGGTCCCCAATACCTGGGGATGGAATAGGGGATGGTTTCAGGATGATACAAGCACATAACGTTTATTGTGCATTTTATTTATATTATTATTACATTATGATATATAATGAAATAATTATACAACTCACCATAAGAAGAAAAAACACCCACCCATTATTTTATTTTATTTACCACTTTCTTCTATACCTCTTTGTTATGGTGAGTTATATACTTATTTCGTTATATATTATGATGTAATAATAATAGAAATTTAAAAAGTATACAATAAGTATTACATGCTTGAATCACCCTGTTAGAAACAGGGCCACCTAACAGGAGATGAGTGGTGGGTAAGTGAGCAAAGCTTCATGTGTATTTACAGCTGCTCTCCATCACTCACATTACTGCCTGAGCTCCTTCTTCTGTCAGATCAGCAGTGGCATTAGATTCTCATAGGAGTACAAACCCTGTTGTGAACTGCGCATGCAAGGAATCTAGGTTGCACTTTCCTTATAAGAATCGAATGCCTGATGATCTAAGGTGGAGCTAAGGTGGTGGTGCTAGTGCTGGGGAATGGCTGCAAATACAGATTAACATTAGTAGTAAGGTTTGACTGTGCAGAGACCATAATTAATCCATTGCTTGCAGACTCATATCAAAACTCTATCAGTGAGTGGCAAATGAGCTGATGTACTTAATTGTACAGCTGCATCTGGTGTCAGGCTTTAAGTCAGAATTCAACATTTATTTTAGTCCTCACATGGTTCACCCATTATTTTATTTACCACTTTCATCTGCACCTCTTTTTTTTAATGGTGAGTTGTATAACTACTTGATGATAGATTACAATATAATAACCAAAGAAATAAAGTGCACAGTAAGTGTTATGTACTTAAATCATCTCAAAACCATCCCCCTACCCACTTCCCCACCCTCAGTTCATGGAAAAATTGTCTTTCACAAAACCAGTCCCTGATGCCAAAAAAATTGGGGACCACTATGCTAGGTAACAGGTTAACAGCTAAAATGTGTATGTTTAGAGTTTCACATGATTGCTATATGACCGAACACTTAAACTGATATAGAACAAATTCTAAGCCCCTGTATTAGGCATATTTTATAGTTTCAAATGTAATCTTAATAAAAGAAGGTGTCTTTTTGTCTTAGTAGCTTTGAAAATATCCCTAATGAAACTCAAACTGATTCCATAAGGATGTTTAGTTGAACGCAAAAATCTTGAAGAGGAACATAGCTAGTCTGTTTTCTTGGTATAAGTTTTTATTCTACTATTTATTTTTTATATGTCACATATAAACAAAAAAAGAGAGCAGTGAACTTCTACATGTATCTGAAACTTCTGCATTTCTCACAACAATTAAAATTATATTGTATTAGCTTAATTTTTATTTAGAAGTGAAGTAGTTAAGACATTTTAGCTTGCATTCAGCATGCTTTTTATAATATTTTTATTCAGGGATATTCATTTAATTGGGTAAATGTTTGGTATCACTATAAAACACTTTTCACTGTCATTTTCAAGGACTAGTTATTGTTTTCAATAGTTCTGGAAAATATTTATGGTAATCTTTTACCTTGAAGGCTGTCTAAAAGAGAATAATTCCATTCCATTCATTTCATGTCAAAATATGAAGCAAATGGCTGCAAAGATCTTCAACAAGTTTTTACTGCAAACACAATTAATACGCATATAGTGGATCAATATGCCTTTTTTCTTAATTAGAGTTTTAAATGTATATGAGTGTGTAAAATATATAAATGTAAATGCTCTATCAATATAAATAATTGATTCTGGTTTTTTTTTTTTTTTCAGGCCTGATGGAATCGGGACTGTTTCGGTGGAAGAAAAGGAGAGATTTGAGGAAATAAAAGAGAGACTCTCTTCCCTTTTAGAAAATCAGATAAGCCATTTCAGGTATATATTCTATTTATTAATGGAAACATTTGCTTTTATACTTCACTCAACCTTCCCTTCTGCTATAAATAGTTTGTGATATATTTCTACTACTACTCAAGAATTATCAACAGCTTTCCCGTTACCTGCAGAGTATGATCTACATTCTTCCATCTGGGGTCTGTTCCCCAGCTTGCCATTCAGTTTCCACCACTCTTTTAGACTAGTCGCCTCCCCTACAATATGCATTTCTCTATATCTCGTACTTGCCTTTTGCGTTTCTCGTCCTTGCATAGCCTCTTTCCCCTAGCTCTAGTGATCCATCCTGCTTCTCTCTGCATCACCAGCCAAGGAGACTCTCAAGTCTTACCGCCACAATGGAACCTTTCTTGATTATGCCACCAAAGAGTTTTCTAAAGTCGTTTAGCATTTGTTGTTTGTACCCTCCACTTATCCCTTAGGACATACTTATGACATACATTGTTGAAGTCATTGGTTTCTTTTTATTTACATTCTATGAGAACATAGGCCACTACATCTGGCACAGTTCCTAAAAAATTAGCTATCAATACAAAGGTATGCAGAGTAACAAAAACATATCTTGATATTTCTTTTCCCCTGATTATAGTTAGTTCAGTACCACCCAATGGTTAATAACAGAAATATGCTGATGCAATTTCTTTTTCTATCACTCTTTCATTTGATCCTATAAAATGCCACGTATCAATGTATTGTGTCCTAGCATGTCTGCCGTATCGCACGCATGACTTGGAAACATTTCACGTGAACTTATCTTAAAAAATAAACTCTTTGGGTTCCCCAAGAAAGTGTTATTTAACCATTTGAATGCTATATGGTCATTCCAAGCCTTTGTTTTCATATCTGGAATACAAAGAATGAGTTTAGATGCTGTGATTTTTTAAAAATGATATTGAAAGACTAAATTCTCAGAGTATATACTACGAATCTATTGCTCTACATTACTTATTTTCCACTGGGACTGGTGCTCCAACTTTAGGGTAAATGAATTAGGGAGGACTTTTATTGTCACAGTACTTGGGGGCAGGGGCAGTCATTTGGCGCTGGGTTTAAATCTCCAGTGTGTGGGCCAATCCCACACTGGCAAACTACTCTACCCAAAAGACCAGTAAAGTCACATAAGGAAACACTGTTCTAGGCCGGGCTCGGTGGCTCAGCCTGTAATCCCACGCTTTGGGAGGCCAAGGTGAGTGAATTGCCTGAGCCTGCAGGTTCGAGACCCACCTGGGCAACTTGGCGAGACCTCATCTCTGTGATAAAAAAAAAAAAAAAAAATTAACTGGGCATGGTAGCGCGCGCTTGTAGTTCCAGCTACTTGGAAGGCTGAGGTGGAAGGATCACTGGAGCCCAGCAGGTCGAGGCTGCAGTGGCCGGGAGTGACCACTGCACTCCAGTCTGGGTGATAGAGTGAGACTCCAACTCAAAAAAAAAAAAAAATAGGAAACACTGTTTTAAATAGCATAGCCAAATCCAACTGAGTTAAGATTGAATTGTGTACCTGAAATTATTTTAGTTTAAAAACAAAAGAGAGACATGAAGAAATCTTTTGCATTTGCAGACATACGTTTCTGCATTATCTTTTGTTGAAAATTTGTTTCCTAGGTTGTATAGCGTCCTCTAAAGGTGCTTTCTGTGACTTTCAAGAAAAATTGATGTAATTTTTTTTCCCTTTTCCTTTTTTGCTATTGTTGAGACAGAACTTGTCATTCAGTTGAATATCTATCTCAGTAATTGGATAAGTCTCCATGATTATTATATAAATGATTCCAGCTGCAAGTGATAGACATCCTACCTCAAATTGGCTTAAACATAAAACACGTTTATATGCTCCTTGCCTGTAAGTCTCAGGCAGGGTAAGCTTTAAGACAGGCTCCATCCACTGGCGATAGCACCATTTCTTTGTGATTCTCACATTGCTAACCACTTTCATACGATGACTTCTTCTCCTTGCTGCTGGCAAGAAGACTATAGAATTTCTTGGCCTCATATCCATACATGTCAGTGTACCAAGGAAGGAGCAGAAGCCTTCTCATTCTGTGATTCTCTTTAAGATCATAAAACATTTCTTTAGATGATTTGAGCAAACTATCCCTCATATATCATGGGCCCACTTCTAACCAAACCCGGTGGTCACAGTAAACCCATGAATTAAATGTCTCCTCAATCCGTCACTGACATTCACATGGGACCATCATGATTGAATTAGACTAGTCAGAGCCACCCCATCAGGGGAGTTCATTCTCCCACACTGCCACCCAGAAACTACAAAGTAGGGGCGGTATGTCCACATCATTTATTGTACTTGTTTTGTATTATCATTGTATTAATTTTATTTTCTCTCAGAGTTCTGTGTCTCCGTTTCTCTTATATATGCAGCCTCTTTGGATAACTTCTTTAAAAGTGTACTCTAGAGTCCCTTTTAGTTTTATTTCTTTCACATATTGAGGATAAGAGTTTAAATTAATGGTATAAAAGTTTTGGGCTCATATTCTTTTCTTTTGTGATGTTTGTAGAGTTTATAAATTTTGCTAGTTTTGTTTTTCCTAAGTCGATAGAGGACTGGATAAGAGGAAACGGGATCAAAATGAAATAGAAGAAATTTTAGATGACCACAAAGGCAAATTTAGAAAAATAATGTATTAAAATTGCCCATTAGGACTCTCCTAAGGATTCCCAAATTATCTTCTTTAGCCAATTATGTTAAAATTTAGAATGAAAGTACTATTAATAAGCCTTGTATAGAAATTTATTTATTTATGGTCAACTGTATTCTAGAAGTGGATTGTAAAAACATAGACAAAATAATAAGGCCAACTAAATTAAACATTAATTAGAAACTTCTGGTTAAAGATGGCAGATAGAAATAAGAAGAAGAAAAACGCTGACAAGTTTAAAAGGTATTTGGCTTAATATCCTCAGAACTTAGCTAACACAACAGAACAGTCTTTTTCAAGAAGGCATAAACCCACAAGGACAGCAAGAGTAAAAAGGAGAAAATTACAGAGAACAGAAATTGAAAAAAAAAACAACTTCAGAAGTCAGATGGATGAATAATATTTAATTTAGCAATCTAGGGAAAAAATTATAATCTGGCAGTGTGAACTCGGAGAAGCAATCTGATTTACATATAACCACCAAGATATTTAGAGGACTGCAGATTTATTCCTTGGAGAGAGCCAAATTAGAGGATACCTGGATTGGGATGGAGGAAAGGAGGAAACATCAGGCACAGTTGAAGGTAGAAACAGAGAGATTAAATATGTGTTTATTCTGAAATTTGAGAATCACAGACCTCTCTGAACTTACACACCCGATTCCCAAATGTTGGCAGACAGGTTTATGCTTTCCAAGCATATTTCAAAGTGACTTCCCCTGGTTCTCTAACTACCCCAAGAGAAAAGACCTAAAGCTGTGGACAGCAGAGACTTCCCATACAAACAGTCCAACCAGATTCCCCTTCTGCAACATCCATAGTCTACAAGTCCCATCTGCATGCACATAGCTTCCATTCAGTAATATCACACTTTTGAAAATGATCAGACAGCCTAGGACGTTAGACAGTTGAGGAAAGATTTCATATAAAAGACAGCAATCAATGCAAGTAATTCCCCCCAAAAAACAACTTGATAAAAACAAAGATTATAAGGGGAGGGGGCAAGAAAATCTATTATTGTATCCTTAGAGAAGTTTGAAAATATAGAGCATCTCTAAAACAAAAACAAGACATTATAAAACAGGAAAAAACCTCAGAAAACTAATAAGTACTCTTCGTAAGTACATGTAAAAGCCGTACATGCAACATACAAACACACTAGTGAAAATATGTTTAAAATTACCTGCTTAGGACTTTTATTATCATAAATGATAGGAATTACAGAAACAGTTAAGGCCAAAGGTAGGAAATTAGCAATAAAACTATTCAAAAATATTTTCCAGAATTAAAATACGTAAATTTTAGATTTAAAAAGCCCATTGAGTACCCAGCATAGTGGGTTTGCATATATACTCATCAGGTTGTACATTTACATGAGTTTTCAGAAACTTAAGGATGTTTTTAAAATCAGAGAAAACAGATTTAAAACAATGAATCAGAATTAACTGGGCACAGTGGCTCACACCTGTGATACCAGTACACTGGTAGGTTGAGTTAAGGGGACTGCCTGAGCCTATGGGTTCAAGACCAGCCTGGGCAACTTGGTGAGGCCTTGTCTCTACAATAAATCAAAAAATTAGCTGGGTGTGGTAGCACACGCCTGTGGTTCCAGCTACTTAGAAGGCTGAGGTGGAAGGATCACTTGAGCGCAGCTGGCAGAAGCTGTGATGGCCATGAGCATGCCACTGCACTCCAGCTTGGATGACAGAGTGAGACTCAAAAAAAAAAAAATAAAAATGACCTGAGACATTCTCTATTTGCCACATCTACTGCGTGAGTGAAGACCCTTCTCAGCCATCAAACTGTTCTTTTGGCATGGCATTCCAGAAACTGTCTACTTCACCCTGAAGGGATGCAGCAATATTGTGAAGGGCCCCAGAGGAACTCTGCAGAGAGACTTCAGTCAAGTTAATATATAGCTCAGTCTCCTTGGAAAGAAAAAGAAAAGGCTCCAGTTAAATTGCGAGGAAATAGTAACCAGCTACCATTTGTACTGTGTTTGTAGTCATGTACTGAACATGCTCACTGGGCTGGCTTCCCTTACAAAATGAGATCTGCATAGTTTCACTTCCCCTTCAGCATCATTAGCTGGGAGAATGGGTCTCTTGTTGACATTTGACATTTCTTGATTGAAAAATGCATCCACAGGGTTTTTCTGCAGCTTTCATTTTTATATGAAGAGCAATACAGGTATCTGGATAACAGTGCATCGATGACTTCATAATTCTGAGAAATGATTATTACCAACCAAGAATTCTATAGCAAAAAAGAGTTTTTATGAAGGGTGATGGTAGAATATGATATCTTCAGGTATGCACTCAAAAAATGT